CTGCCTTGCCATATGCCCAGGGAGGCTGACCTCTATGAATTACATATCCTGGGTTTCTAGGCTTTCTGGCTGCTTGTTGGTTTCAGCCAATGGCAAGTTGCAGGACAGGTACCCTGGCTTCCTCCCTGCTGGTCTGTATTTGGTATTGCTTGTGTTCTTCTATCTACGACCAAAGTGTGTGTTGATGGACCTTCTCCACCAGCTATAGCTCTTACTGGGTGTTAACAGCTCCCTCCTTCTTTATCTTTTTTAAATTAAAAAAAATTTTTTTATTGCAGCATAGTTGATTGTACATATCTGTGGGGTACAGAGTTAAATATCAGTACCTGTGTGTAATATGTGATGCTCAAATCAGGATAATGAGTATATTCAACATTTACAATGTAATTATTTTTTGTGCCCCTTTACCAATTCCTCCCTTCCCTCCCTTCCCCCTACCCTAGCTCCCTCCTTCTAGAAGTGGTAATGGCTTCTTACTGTTGCTAGTTGCTTACTGTTGCTCAGGGTTTTTAACCACCCCTTGTTGCTTCCCTTAACCCTACCTATGCCATAGTCCCTTTGAGTGTGCCATCTTTTCCTGCCAGGAATGTTGCTGCTATACTGATGGATAAGAGTTTTTATTCTAAGGTACACACAGCCAGGTAGATGAGATATAAACATAGCTATCTGTTATGGACTGAATTGTGTACCCCCCCCCCCCAAATCCCTGTTGAAGTACTAACCTCAGTACCTCAGGTGACAGCTTTTTGGAGATAGGGTCATTAAAGTGGTAATCAAGGTTAAATGAGTCCTAATCTAATATGACTGGTGTCCTTTTAAGAAGACAGAAGGACATCAGGGGTGTACACACACAGAAAAAGACCATGTGAAGATACAGTGAAAAGATGGCCCTCTACAAGGTCAAGTAAAGAGGTTCAGAAGAGACCAAACCTGCCATTATCTTGATCTTAGACTTCTAGCTGCCTCAACTGTGAGAAATACATTTCTGTTGTTTAATCCACTCAGTTTGTGGTACTTTGCAATGTCAGTCTTAGCAGTCTAATACACTATTACAAATGTCAAAAATAAAAAATATGAGGACAGAGTTATCAATTTTGTGACTTTCAGAGGAAGGAGCTATCATCTCTGGTTGGCAGAGTTGAGGGAAATTCTTGTGGAGTTGTTTAAATTGAAGGTTGGAGAAAATAACTGCACCTACCTGACAGTATTATGAGGATTAAGTAAGAATATATATGAGGAGACTTCAAAAGGTTTGTGGAAAAATAGAGAAGATGATACATCTTTCCATGAACTTTTGAAGTACTTTGAATATATATAAAACAGTGTCTCAATAACTTGAATAGTTTTGTAATTTACAAGAACATACAGCTAAACTCAGACTCAGGTTTAGAACTCTCTCCTGACTTCTCGTGGCCTACTCTTTCCATGCTTTGGATTAATGTTCTGACATTTTAAAGACCTTAATTCTCAATGCACTTGAGTGCCACTTGGTTCTCAAGGCCCTCCGTCCTTGGTCTCATCTCCTGATGCTTAACTCTGCCTTTGTGGTGACCAGCCTCCAAGATGGCTCCTGGTGATCCATACTTCCTGGTATTCATGCCCTTGTGAGTCTTCTCCCACAATGAATCAAGGAATAGACTGCATAACCCATTACAGCATAGCAGAAGTGATAGTATGTGACCTCCAAGGCAAGTCATAAAAGGTCATTGGTAGTTGAAAGGGGTCCATGACTATAAGATTTCACATTATAGCAAGGCTCCAATATTTCTTAAATTGGGGCACTGAATATAAATCACAGTACAAAATCCTTAATTCTTTTACTGAAAAAGCAACAGGTGCTACATGAGAATCACCTGTATATCATCTACTTAAAAAAATGCAGATATAAAATATTAATTGCATAGGGATTTAACTATAAGGCCAAAAAGAATATTAAGTAGAAAAAAAAAAAATCATAGGGCACTATGGTGTCAAAAGATAGAATTTCATTCTTAGATTAATAAATCTGAATTACTGTCTAATTAAAAATCACAGTATGTTGCTATAACTAACAGTGAATATCAACTGTTTCAGTAATTCCAAACTGGAAACCAATTTTAGGACTAACAAGGATACAACTAAAACTCATTGTCTAAACCTGATCAGTGTATTAGCACATCAGTGCCTGGTACGTACCTGATTAGTTATATAATCTACCTTTTGCAAATAACATTTATCGTATAACTTCGTATAATGTATGCTATACGAAGTTATTACGTTATTACACTTTGGTTTGTTACACAGCATTAGATAACTAATACAGTATTCATAACCCACAACCCAATTAACGGTTCTCCATATTCTGCCTTTGTCTTTTTATACCCCTCATAAAACAATTAAATAGCAAGCTAATAAATAAGTTGTTCATGTTCTTCTCTTCTGGAATGCCCTCCTTTCCTTCTTGCAAATCCTCCAATATCCAGCTCAATCTCCATCCCCATGAAGCTTTTGACTTGAACACTTTGACCATCTTTTATTGTAGCCCAATGTTGGTACCTCAGAAGTAATTACTGTTATTTCACACATATTAATTTGTAAAGATAAAGATGATGTAGATTTCCTGTTTCCTATAGCATCCAGCATAATGCCACACATGCAGCTGCTACCTTAGTGAAATGAATAAATTTTTAATAGGCCATCATCCAGTAGAATCAAAATCTGGGACAACAGCATTTTCTTCTCCATAGTCTGAATTCCAAAATTACTGCTTTGTCTAAGGACTGGAATAAACAACTTTCAGACTCTGTTTTTACAAAGCTAATTACAACAGTTTTAGAGGAATATAGGGCAATATGTTTTACATAAAAAAGGGAAATTTACGTTTAAAGGAAAGGTAACTAAATACATGTTAGGGTCATAAACATGTGACAAGGGTCAAGACTACCCATTACAAATGAAATTCTGTTCCTAATAGGATCCTCTACCCTACTCAGCAAGAATCCAAAAATTGTTATGTTCTTCTTACTGCATACTGTTTTCCCTATTAGAGATGCCAATTTAATCATTCCTAGAAGACAAAAGTTATGGCCAGCAGAAGTGGAAACATGGTTCACTGTCAGCAAATGGCTTCAAAAATTAATTTGAGAAGAGAAATCATTTTTAGAGCAAACACTGCCAATACATTTCAAATTAAACTTCAAAATCATTGCTTGGTATATGTATAGCAGGCACTCAGATTAATGAGTCAATACATGTATCAGTTAGTGCTCTCCAGAGAAACAGAATAAGATACATACCTATATATCTATGTTATATAAAGTACCTATCTATTGAGATGGAGTTTTATTTTAAGGAAGCCTCCAGCATTGTGAGGACTGGCAAGTCTGGAATTTGTAGTGTTGGCTGGCAGGTTGAAAATTCAGGTAAGAGGTGATGATGTAATCTTCAGTTCAAAATCAAAATTGACAGGCCAGCAGGCTTGGAACTCAGGCAGGATTAATATGTTATAATCTTGAGGCAGAATTACTTCTTTGGGAAATCTCAGGTTTTGCTCTTAAGGCTTTCAACTGATTGGATGAGGTCCAACCACATTATGGGAGGGTGCTCCACTTTACTTAAAATCGATTGTGTTAATCACATGTACAAAATAGCTTCACAGCAACGTTGAGAGTAGTGTTTGACCAAACACATGGGCACCATAGCTTAGTCAAGTTAACTCATAAAATCAACCATCACAATACCACATTTGATGAAGTGGGATTTTTTTGTTTGGATTTATTTGATTTTTAAATTTTCCATATCACTATGTCTCAGACATAGAGTACTCCACATGTGTGGGCACCACATAGATTACAAAATCAGAGGAGACACATTGAGCTAAGATTTAATCACCAACAATAACCATGAGTAAGAGCAATAAAATCCTGTCTAACGAAGTACAGAAACACATTTTAGAAAATGAATTTCTTATACGTGTTCATTTGTTTTATTTAAAAAAAAGTTTGTGCAACATCAAGTAAGAAAATCTAAAGGGGAATGTTGCCCAATCACAACACTTAATAAAATGTCTCCCATTACTAAACCAGCTTTTAAATATGCAATAACATTCACAGAATTGCCAAGTTATTTTTCATAAAACTCTCCTAACAAAACTGCAATTCAAAAAGTGTTTCTGTATCAGAGGATGTAGTTTTTTTCCCAAGGAAGTTACATGCAAATACCCAGAAGTTTCACTATTTACAAGGTGACAGATAGACAGATGAGGAGAGAATGAGCTCAAATAAGTCAGCCTCACCCTGCCCAAACTTCCCCAATAGGATTTAATGAGCATCAAAGTTGCAAAATGCTGGGCTGAGTGGACTAAAGGGTTGAAACTTCCCCAATAGGATTTAATGAGCATCAAAGTTGCAAAATGCTGGGCTGAGTGGACTAAAAGCTGGCTTACAGCAATTCTTGGGATTTTATGAAGTACTGCAGATGTTTGAAACTCTCATAGCAATGAAAAAGCCCAGCTAGTTAATAATCTGCATCATTTCCCAATCCATATTTTATGTATAAAACATAGTTTGTGATGTTTGAAACTCTCATAGCAATGAAAAAGCCCAGCTAGTTAATAATCTGCATCATTTCCCAAGCCATATTTTATGTATAAAACATAGTTTGTGATGATAAAAGTTGCATACAGGCCCTTATTTATTTGGCCTTTTACTCAATAAAATGCCAGCGGCAGGGGCTGGATGGAGGAATAACAGGGCATATGTATGTGGCGACAGAGTCTCAGAAGCTTTTCCTATTTAGTGAGAGCAGATCATAACTTACATTTTATCACTATTTAGTGAGATCTTTGTTGCAGAAAATGAGTGACCTTACAGAAATGGGACTCGGAAGTACAGATAATGGCAGAATTGGGCTTTTGATCTAGATACAGACTCTAAGGAAGGGTTGGAAATATAAATTTATATGTCCTTAGTAGTTCACAATCTCAGCGTTCACATTGTATATTTAAGGTCTTGAAACCAAACTGTTTGAAAAGTTTTATTTGGTACCAGAAAATATCTACAATTGGCTCTTTACAAAAGAAGATGTTCAAGAGGGGAGAAATAAAGTTATACATAAGATTTTGCTGCTGAAGTTTGGGATGATTATCGACAATAAATTTAGGTTATAAGAACTCGTACAAAACCATGTCTTTTTATATAAAGGAAGTAGAAACTGTGTTAATCCCTTGACTAATCAGTTTGCTGAAACTTGTAAGAGATTATACTGAACCTAAAGAAAAATAGGTCTATGAAAGAGAAGACTAAATTATTTCAAATGTAGTAGTACATAAACATATTTAGACAGCTGAAAACAATTATCTCAAGAACCCGACAACTGATTTTCATCATGTCAAGTCCATGAGGTCTACAATATTCATTTACACTATGGCTTTTCATTTCATAGTTGTCTTTTAAATTATATAAAAATCTGCACATAACAACAGATATTACTGACAGTAATTGTTATCAGAGGATGTATGTCTCTTTCTCCCTCTGGGTACACACTTGATTTGGTCATATGTACAACCCCCGTCCCTGACTGCTCATCTGACAGTGGAGGACAAGACCTACCAGAATAACCCAAAGATGGGAATAGGAAGGATCAGCCCACTTCATTGTTTCTAAAGTGCCAAAGGTTTTGTAGTCATGCAAAATACTAATACCAACACTTTCAAAGGGCCAAAAAACGAGGCACTAAGAGTGTCTGGGAACATGCAAGAGTTATGATCAGCATCTATGGCATAGTATACAGGCATGAAGTAGTTAATATTTTAACAAAATATAAAAAATACTGTGTTCTCCAAAGCGAGAAAGCAGAAAACTTCCCACTAGTAGAAAAAGAAAAACAAACACTGGTGTTCAATTTCCAGTTTAAATGCATTTATGAATAGAAAAATTGTCATCCCCATTAAATATAAGGAGTCCAGAAGAAATTGTGACCTTAATGTACAAGTATAGCAGTATTTCTATATCAAACTAAATTTAGTCTATGATTCAATACAATGCTATATATATATATACACAGACACACCCATAGTACCTTTAGGAATTCTCTTAAATGCTCACAGTAGCTTATATGGTATAGATAAAGATAAAAATGTATAAACTAGAGTGTAGATAAAAAATATCTTTTACAGCTTACTGAGTGATACCTTCTGTGGGTTAAATAGCTTAAATTCTTCAAGTTTGAATTTTGATTTTTGAAAGAACTGTGCTTTGGTGTTCAACCTTTATAGTCTTAGTTTTTCAAAATAAGGAATAAAGGTAGAGAACATCAAATGTGGGCGAAAAAGACTTCTGATTTGTAACATCGTAACTGTCACATGGTTATCCAGTGGTTTTCATCAACCCATTCCTGGCCGAAATCTAGCTTCTTGGAGGTGAGTTAAAAGGGTTTGATTTAAATTTTGTTTTCACAAGTGCACATTTTAAAATTTAATGAAAAATGCACATTTGTGTTACATACCCTATTTTACCACACTGGAGACTGCTTACATATTAGTTTCCATTACCAGGATAATTTGTCTGTGTACAAACCTTGAAATACAACTTCAGCTATCTCTAGTTAAAGAATCTCCTTAGATATATGTTTAAACCTGTTATTATTTGCACTTATATTTGTGTGAATCAAATTTTCTTGATAGTATGAATATAAAACAAGGCATAGAAATAAATCGGCTGCTGAGGTTTCATCAACTATAACTCCATATTTATTTTATGCAGAAATAACTCAGAAATCTTATTCTTAGTAACGGACTAAGGTAAATAAACACAAATGTGAATTCAAAACACATTTATACTGGTAAAATGAACTTTTCCGGCTTTATGTATTAGAGCTACACATAAAATTTTATTAAAAAAAGATTCTAGTACTAAAAATGTTTGGAATGTAATTCGTTAATACTTAATGCTTGATGTGACTTAATTTTCTAAAGCAAACTGCCTTTCTAACACATTTCAATTCTTAAATTACTCATAATGGAAAAAATTCTACAAAATTGTAGTGCTGCAGATGTTCAAAAATGGTGAGTAAGGTATAAAAAGTTAAGAAGATATTATACTAAAAACATTCATAATTGCTTGAGAATCTTCCGATAGGCAGCTTTAAAGATTTTTATTTTTGAATTAATCATATACTTATTGTGTTATAAATTTCAAAATATGTTCATCCTCCATATAACTGTGTTGTGCGTTTTTGATAGTTTAGGCACATTTCAATGATTTTAGATTTTGTGGTTTCATTATAAAACAGCTTGCACACCAAACTGAAACAATCTTTTTTATTTAAAAGCCACCTCAAAATTCACTTCTGGGTTTTAGTTTTTGTTTAAAAAGAAGCAAACACTTAAAAGCATCAAATAGCTACTAGTCTACAATTCATCTTGTCACGAACATTTTTAGTTTGTGGACCATGGAAATAAACCTATTACATTGATTAGGACAGTACTGTGTGTAACAGGCCAGAAATCAGGGCACATCTGTGTACTCAGGAAACAGAGGTCTGAACGGAGGGAGTCATGCCTTCGCTGTGGGCACTCCTATCTTTAAGCCCCCTCCAAAAGCTGTTAGTAAACCTCAAATCAATACATAAAAGATTTTATGTAAATAGTTAAAAAAAACAAATAACCATACCTGCTTTCTAAATTATGTTGCAAAGCTAAGACAAATGAATATAACTGTAGCCTCACTATAATTTGTGGTCTTGATATCCATGTCACAGGACCAGGTTATAGGTGAGACAGAATTATACCATTCCTCTGGTGGTTTCAGAAAAGTAGTTGAAAGGGGTCCATGACTATAAGATTTCACATTATAGCAAGGCTCCAATATTTCTTAAATTGGGGCACTGAATATAAATCACAGTACAAAATCCTTAATTCTTTTACTGAAAAAGCAACAGGTGCTACATGAGAATCACCTGTATATCATCTACTTAAAAAAATGCAGATATAAAATATTAATTGCATAGGGATTTAACTATAAGGCCAAAAAGAATATTAAGTAGAAAAAAAAAAAATCATAGGGCACTATGGTGTCAAAAGATAGAATTTCATTCTTAGATTAATAAATCTGAATTACTGTCTAATTAAAAATCACAGTATGTTGCTATAACTAACAGTGAATATCAACTGTTTCAGTAATTCCAAACTGGAAACCAATTTTAGGACTAACAAGGATACAACTAAAACTCATTGTCTAAACCTGATCAGTGTATTAGCACATCAGTGCCTGGTACGTACCTGATTAGTTATATAATCTACCTTTTGCAAATAACATTTAATACATATTAACAAGTGAAGAGCACATCATCACTGCATGCCATCAATGATTTGCAGGCTTACTTGAGAGTGTCATTATCTAAAGGTGTAAGATCCCACCCGGCAGAATCTTCATTCAATGAACCCGAAACACTGTAATTAACAAAATATCACAAAGTCCCCCATTAAAACGTACATGAACCAGAGAACTAAATGTAGATGAACCAGAGAACTAGGTCCTGACACCAGTTCATACATTATCCTCAGCATTCTGGAAGGCAATGAATGATGAGTCCAACTATACTCTGTAGTTTAAGATAATGGTTAACACCTGAAATTTCAGATAGGAAGCTAACTTGTTAATTTACTTCTCATTTTAATGTTGTTAGACTGTAGTTTAAACAGCAATTTCCAAATCTAAAAGTAGCTTAGTTAACTTAGTATTGTTATACAGAGTAGTGTGAGGAAAAACAGGAACTCCCAAAGGAATTATGTTAAGGTACATTGGGAATACCAAAACTGATGTTTTAAACGAAAAAGTGCATAAATACAGTAATACTACAAATGTGTTAACTATGGAACAAATGTTTCTTTGGGAGCTAAACAATACTATTTTCCCACATTATTTACATGTTAGGACTTGTTCAGATACCATAAAGCACCATTTACAGTCTAAATTGCTCGATTATGTCTGAAAGGTCCTTCGAATTCAACTCTACTCATCTGAGGATCTACCTAGAGTAGAAATGTCAAGTCACCTTCAAATAGCATTTATCTTTACAATTCAGTTCTCTTTTGCTCAGAAACGGCAAAACAATATTTTCATTTCACACTCTTGGTTGGTGTTTCAGATTCTGTGGACTGTCTCCCGTCTGTCCAGGCTTCCCGGGTGCTTTTTAGAGCCAGGGTCTTCTGTTGGTCAACCACAACATAATCCACTCTCTCATCTGCTACACTGCTGCCCGAGCCACTGCTCTTTTGCTAAAAAAAAAAAAAAAATGAGGGAAAAAAACAAAGTCTCACATATAAAAAAGTGTTTCTGAGTGAAATTCAGTCTTAAGACACAGACACACCTGTACCATGAATACTCTTGAAATTCTTTTTTTTTTTTTTCCTTTTTGTCTTTTTTCGTGACCGGCAACGGATCGCAACCCTCAGCGTCGCGCCCGTACCGGACCGGGACCGGCAACGGGATCGCAACCCTTGGTGTTGCTCCCGCCCCTCGCTCAGCCAGTGAGCGGCCGGTCTGTATGTGGGATCCGAACCCTCGGCGGGAGCGCCGCCGCGCTTCCCAAGCAGTGCACTGTAGCAGTGCGCCACCGGGCCGGCCCTTGAAATTCTTTTGGGTCACAAAAAATAACATTTACTACCTCAATTTAACAATATTGTCTCTCTCTGAACTATACACTATTTTTCCCTTAAATTAAAAATTATTATATTATACACAAGAATTCAAACTAATGCTCCCCTCACAGCTGAAATTAATATAAAATAGGAACAGCAAATACCTGGTTTACCTTAACATGCACAGCTTGATTCTCCCTTTAGCTTAAGCTTGACATTTTTCAAGCCCTGAGAACATGCATCAGTGTCTACTTTAAGAGCTAAGAAATGTTTTTTGAAAAGCAATACCTTCAAGAATGACAAACTACATAGGGCTAATGCCCTCTTCTAAAATCCAACTAGATACTAGATAAATTAAAACAAATATAATTATTTATGCATTGCTGGGCTCACTAGAAAGTAAGGGAAAACCTAAGGTGTAAGAGAAACAGAGTAGTGAACTTCTAGATGGTAAAGGCAGTGTTGTCTTTGGGATGAGTGTCAATCTCAGCAGTTCAACCAGGAGGCCCTGGGTAGGAGGTGATGCTGAAACTGAGACTATCCTGTTAAGTTAGGGACTCTTGAAGGAAACTGACATGATCCTCGAGGGGGAGCACTTCCTAGTTCCTAGCAGAAGCAAATAAAAATCCTTCTTGGAGGAAATTTAGGTCCTCAGGATTCCCACAGATATATTTAGCAGAATGAATTCACAATAAAAATGTATAAAACACAAGAAAATAAGCCATACAGAACGTGAGTTAGCAGAAACAGTAAACACAGATTCAGATCTCCAAGGACATCAGATATTAAAATTATTGCATAAAACAGTATAAAATATATGTGTACAAAATGTTAAAAAAAACCTAAAAATTAAAGCTAAATAGAAGGAATAATAGTCAAGAATAAAAAGCTATTAAAATCAGTGAGACATATTTGAAAAACAAACAGAACTTTATTTTAGAAATAAAACACAAAATAATTGAAATTAAAAATTAAACAAATGGAAAGAACTGAGAATTAGTAAACTTGGTGACAAATCTAAAGAAATTATCCAGTTAAGCACAGAAAGATGGTAAGATAGAAAACATAAAAGAATGTTAAGAGATGCAGAAAATGGAGTAAGAAATTCTAACATATATCTAATAAGAAACCTCAATGGAGAGAATAAAAAGAATTGTGGAGAAGCAATATTTAAAGAGATAATGATTGAGACTTTTACAGAATTGATTTTTAAAAAGGCAGCACAACTTCTACCAAGCAGGATAAAAAGAAATCTGTCTAGAAACATTGTAGTGAATGTGCAGAATACCAAAGACTTTGAAAAGATCTTAAAATAAGCCAGACAGAAAGGACAGATTACCTACAAAGGAATTACAATTAAGATTGACAGCATGCTTTTCAACAGAGACAAGAGAAGCCAGATAATGGTGAAATAGTATCTTCTATGTATTGCGAGAAATTTTTATTAATCAAGAACTGTAAACTCAGCAAAATTCTTTTTCTAAGAATGAAGACAAATAAAGACATTTAAGTCAAGCAAAAACTGAAAGAACGTACTACCAAAAGGCCTCCACCAAAGGAACTTCTAAAGGATGTATTTCAGGGAGAATGAAAATTATCACAGAAGGAAGGTCTGAGATACAAGAAAGAATGATAAACAAAAAGGTTGGTAAACATGTCAGAAAATGTAATATAATAAGAGTAATAATACTGTCTAAGTTTTGGGCTTAATGAAAAGATGACAAAATTAAAATATTGGACAAAAATAGCAATTTGAGCTAATATTTAAGAGAGTAACATTAATTTTAGAATTTGTGTTCATTTCAGTGGTAACCACTATAAAGGGTAGAGTGTATAATTTCCATGCCATTATAAAGAAAAAATAAATTTATCAGTGTCCATAACTTTGTTACTTGTGATTTATGAAAGAGCATTAAGCAACAGACTTTATTAAATTTAAATTAAGCATAATTAATAAAATTCCCCCAAAGAAGATGATTCTTCAGATTTAAAGTGTGAGCTTATTGTATTTACAGAAAAGGTTTCACTTACTTTACGTGGTGGTGTGGATTTCCCAGAATCTAAATCTAGATCTAGGTATTCCACTTGTTTGTCTCCTTTGGGCTTGATCATAGGACTGCTCCCTCCATCAAGACTATTACTGCCAAAAAGATTCTGAAAGTATAATACAACAAAACCAATAGTCAAACACTCATCTTGACTGCCACATACTAAAGCCTAAATAAATATTTACTTTCAAGAGGACTTGGCTTGAAGAAATGTCTGCTCAGAAAATTATGTAACTTTTTAGGATTGAAGGAAAATAAATAATATTTTAAAAATTGATTAAGACTTAGCTTGGAATAAGCTAAAAGTAGTTCCAAAAGTTTAACTTAGTTGAAACTAAGATCGGGACATCAAGCTACGTTAGTGTGGTATCTCAACTTAAACATTACTTCCGTATTCAGTTACATTTTTTACACTATAGGAGTCTCATATTCTTATTCTCCTTGCTTTCAAATTAAATTTTTAAAAAATCCTTTCTACATTTAAAGGCTTTCACACTGAAATTAGTTTAGAGTAAGTATGTCAACTAAAGGCTATGAATAATGACTTCACTGGCAAAGTCTATTTTGTTTCAATCACCTGGAATTTTTTTACCACTTAATTTCCTCTGCCTTCTCTTAGCCTGATCCCTTCCTTCCTAAAAGGAATTGTACAATAGGACTACTGTCTAAAAAAAGATAAAGTTGGGAAGGTCGAAGACAGCTATAAACAAGAAGAACAAAAAAGTCTGAGGCAGAAAAATGAAAAAGAAACAGGTTAGCAAAAGTTTGAAGACCAATGCTAAATAAAAAGGAGAGGATGGCGTGAACTTGTGTCCCTACAAATACCCTCTACTCTAATTATGACAGTTTTCTACATGTGCTCCAACAAATGACTTGTTTCTATGCCTTAGTGTTCCCCACCTAGAAGTGTTCCTGACTTCTCCTAGGCAAGACTGTGTACTCATCAGGGACTTTCCTCCTTGTGCCCTCTACCATGTTGATATTAATGTTCGTGTATTATCTAATACTTCAGAAGAAAGCCATAACAGTGTAACAAAAATTTATACCTGTCATATTGAACAAAACAATATGCAATTTGAAAACTGCATAAATCTGGTTCTGTTGATTCCTTTATATTGCTACTTCATTTATTTTTGCTCAGGTTAAACAGAGAAAGCTGTGCTTTGTGGAAAGGATATTTGCTAGAAAAATATAGAGTCCATTCCCTCATTTGCTAGTGAGGCTGCTGACAGCCAGGATGAAACCTTTTTGTGAATTAATCAGGTTAAACAGAGAAAGCTGTGCTTTGTGGAAAGGATATTTGCTAGAAAAATATAGAGTCGATTCCCTCATTTGCTAGTGAGGCTGCTGACAGCCAGGATGAAACCTTTTTGTGAATTAGGAAAAGATGCTCCTTCTGACAGCCAGGATGAAACCTTTTTGTGAATTAGGAAAAGATGCTCCTTCTGACAGCCAGGATGAAACCTTTTTGTGAATTAGGAAAAGATGCTCCTTCCCCTGGGGTGACACGGCTCTGTTTCAGAGCCCTCATCTTGGTGAGTGGAACATGGCCTACATTTCAAGTAATCAGGTACATAATATGTGTGCAGCATACTGTACATAATGCATATGGTCTGCAGTGCATTTATGCAGTAAACAAGCTACACAACTGAATGTAATGGCCCTATATGGAGATACAGATTTTTAAACCAAATTTATCAACTACTGTTAAGAAAACATTAAAAAAATATTGAAAGTAAGATGTAGGGCAGAAAAAAAATGTAGCAAGTTTTGGTGCTCAATACAAACAGCAATCCCCCACCTGTTTTTTAATTTATGAAGAAACTGAAATCATCAAATTTTTTCTCTGAATGACTCCATATTTCAATCTCAATTAAAAAAATCAGCTGTGAATGTGTGTAAAATTCTGTATTCAAATGTGACCAATGGCCCATACTCTGCATTTCCCTGACTGGAAACACTTGTAAGTATTCACAGTATTACAAGGCTATAAAAGAAACAGGTAAATTCATATGATCTGCACACTTAATCTCAATAAGTTGTTCCTTAAGAGAATTTCTCAGACTTGCTAGTTAAATTGTTTTATGCCTAATTATCACTAGACCTGGATTTTTTTTTCATCTTTGAGTATTAAAATTTGTGTGTCTACAAGGAAGTCTCTTTGCTCTTCATAAGTTGTTCCTTAAGAGAATTTCTCAGACTTGCTAGTTAAATTGTTTTATGCCTAATTATTACTAGACCTGGATTTTTTTTTCATCTTTGAGTATTAAAATTTGTGTGTCTACAAGGAAGTCTCTTTGCTCTTCATCTAATCTCAACTGGGAACAGCTACCTCTGTGTTCTAGCCTTTCACCTAGTACTTTCCCAAAACAGTCTAGAGAAACTCTATGATTCAAGGAGTTATTTTAAGTAGTATTCTGTGAATTAAACAAAACAGTAGTGCTAGGTTTGTCTAAAGTTCTTTAAAACATATGTAAAATCATTTAACATTTTTGTTATTACTATATAACAATATTTATGTCTTTAGTAATGGTGTACCATCACTCCAATTTCAGGAGTCACATTATGGGTTCACTTGATAAATGCATGACTTTTGATCGTCATATAAATAAATGGACAGCATCACAAATTCACTGTTTCACTATACACTGCCTGCCTCATGATCACTAGTCTAGGAAATGTACTGTCCTTCAAAATTTCCATCTGTAGATTTTAATCTTCATTATAGGTACAATGATTTGATCTGATCCTGTCTCAACTTCTCTAGGACTTTTTTTTTTTTTTTTTACTGACGTAATCAGTCCAAGCACACATTAGATCTTGTGAATTATGGTATTCCATCAAGACATTAAGTTCCAGAATTAAAGTGGTTTGGTAAATATTGCTATATCTATCACATTCTTTTTAAAAGAAGAGTTATATGAACTATGATGAGTCCCTGCAATTGGCAGCATGAGGAAATAGAAGTGGCACCGTGAACTTTTCTATTGTACATGGTAGATAGTTATTTCCACCTGGCTTATTTTTGCTTATTTCTAACACTTAGGACCTAAGTGCTTCAGAAATTCACCAGATAGTGGTTATTTAGACACCTTTCTGGCTTAATGTCATAAAGTATAAAAAAAACAATTTTGCATTTTTACTTTCCTTCAACTTCTGATTGTAATGTGTTTCTTCCAAGTCTTTTCCCTTAACCTAATACTTTCCCATGACAAATCACACTTGCAAACTTTTCTGGCCTTTCCAAGATGTTTATAGTTACTATGGCTTACTATTTTGGGCAAAAAGACTGACTCTTTAGTACCTTGGAAAATACTCTAATTACTTTTGTAATAAGAAAAAAGTTCACTCAACTACCTAAAGATAAAAACTGGTGACAATATCTACTCTGATACAGTATTTAGGATTTACTTAGACTCTTACAAGAGTTTATTTACTCTAATGAGGAAAACAAATTAAGTTAATAAAAATAAGAGAATACTACTTATAGAGTTGAAAAATAGTGAATACAAAAGCAAAAGCCAATGAATAAAATTGACCTTCCTTAGAAAATCAGTGAAAACATTACCAATAGTTGTATTTTAATTCAATACTGACATAAGCATTTTAAAATTACATTATTCATTTTTGAATACTCTATACATTTTATATTTTAAAATTAACTAGTTTAAGCACCACATCAAGTTTTTCTTACCACTTAGTTATGTTTCCAGACAACATACAGTTGTGAGGAGCCTATTTTTGTCTAAAGTCTCTTAAGGATGAAGAACAGATTCGTTGATAGAATTGGGCTTTATATTTTATATCTCTAAACAGGATTGTTTTAAAGAAAATGAGGCCACTAAAATATTAACTCATTCCAAATTCTGACATTAGGTGTTTGCTTATCCTGGCAGATACTGCCTGGTTGTCCCCAGTACCTGCTCTCCCTCTGCCCACATGAGTGGGATTTTTAGGTGGGCCCAAGGTCCCTCAGAACAAAGGCTATGTTTTTCAGCCCTTCTGTGTCGAAGTGTAGCCACACAGGCTTAGTTCTGGTTGACGATTTGGCAGTTTCCAGGAACCTTGTCTATGAGGCAGTTGGGCTGTGCCCTTGCTGCTTCTCCCTTTCCTCCACCCTGAAGCATGCAATGTGAATCTGTTAGCTGCAGCATCATATCTTGTTCTGTGAGCATGTGAGCCATTCCCAGGGGACAGCAGACTGGAGAGCTGGAAAAGGCCTGCATCCCTAAAGACCCTGTTGAACAGAGCTGTTGCAACAGCTCTGCAATGATTCTCTCTGGACTTTTACATGAGAAAGAAAGAAACTTCTCTCTTGTCACTGTTACTTGTTTATTTTGTGTTACTCAGGGGTGAACCTAATCCTAATGGATATACTTATCTACTAAATATAAATAGAGCAAGTATTAAGACTGATTTAAGGAAAAGCAAAGACAAAATATTTTTAAAAATTAAAATTTGTTTGTATTCTTAAACATCTGAAGTATTTTCTGGCAACTACCTGATTTCTGGGGAACAAAATGCTTGCTACTATCAGAAAATTCTCATGCCTTGTGGTAGTACAGCCAACCTGAAACAAGTAATGTGTATAGCAGGTCTTCTTTAATCTGTAAGCCTATCTAGGGGTGTATTATTAAAAGATTATAAAAGACCTTTCGTATAAGACCATTTCAACCATAAGAGTGCTGTGACACGGGCCTGAAGAACTGCATAATACAATGCTTCCAGTATATTTTCTTGAAGAGTATAAAAAATCAAGTACATTTTAAATGAAACATAACTGGAAACATTTTATGTTTTTTAACTAATTTATAGTTATAGATAATGATATCTCACTTAAACTCTTTATTAGTTTTAGACTTTATGATACTATTTTTAAGAAGCATTTTTTAAAGTTGTCTCTTTTATCATTTCTCCTTCAGTATATAAAGAAAGATGTGAGGTAAAATTTATAGACTGGAGGGTAGGTTCTAGTCTGAATGATTTAAAAGGGCTGCTTAAGAAGGGAGAAGTTAAGATGAAGACTTTACATACTGGGTCTTCACTGGGCAGGTTTGGGTTCATGGGAACATAATTCTCTTCACTGTCGTGTGAGTCACTGCTTGAAGTTGTGCTATGCACTGAATCCGGTCGGGGGGACATGGGAAACCTAGAGGAGCTGATTATAAACATTATCATCACAAACATAAATCTTGATTAAACTTTCTAAAATCATTCCCAAAATAAAAATGAATGATAGTTTGCATTTTTCGAAACCATCAATGTTTATAATCATTTATTATACACATTTATTATAACACCTGCTTGAAGTTGTGCTATGCACTGAATCCGGTCGGGGGGACATGGGAAACCTAGAGGAGCTAATTATAAACATTATCATCACAAACATAAATCTTGATTAAACTTTCTAAAATCATTCCCAAAATAAAAATGAATGATAGTTTGTATTTTTCGAAACCATCAATGTTTATAATCATTTATTATACACATTTATTATAACACAATTTATTGTACACATTCAAACACATAACTAATATTTATAGCTGTATTTTAAAAGTATATTTTGAACATCGAATTATCTTCTGTAAAAGAAACAACAAAAAGTACTATTTTGGGATAAGTACAAAGTCACAGATTTAAAAAAGAAGACTTAAGAATGCTTATTAAAAAAAAAAAAAATCTAGTGGGCTGGCCAGTTAGCTCAGCTGGTTAGAGTGCTACCTTGTAACACAAGGTCAAGGGTTCAGATTCCCTTACTGGCCAGCTGCCAAAAACACAGATACAAAAAACCCCAAAAAACAAATTAGCTATATATGTATACATAAAACATGAACACACATTCAACACAGGTTCGTAACTTTATAAATTCTCTTCATTTCCCTATACACATTTAAATAGATCTCAATTAAATAATCCCCACAAGAAACTACCATATTTTCCAGATCACTAGTTCTCAGAAATTTCTGGTCTTGTGAACCTTTCACACTCTTGACCATGTTAGAAATGAAAATGGAAATCTTATCAAAACACAAAAGTATGCAAACGCACATTCTATATGCTGTCACATGACATCATCACACATCATGTAGCCTTTGGAACACTCCACTGTACACTCATGAGAGAAGAATGGAAAAGACAAATAACATCTTAGTGTCTTAATAAAAATAATTTTGACTTCACAGAACCCAAGAAAGGGAGGCTCCCCAGACCATCCTTTGAGAGCCCCTCTTCTAGACATTCTCCACGATAATGTACAATTCTAGATAGTCACATGTTATTCAAACAAACTAAATATTTTAAACAAAGAACTTACTCTCTAGCAAAACTCCGAGTGATAGGAGATCTAACTGGGGCTTGTAATTCTTCCCATTCTGGTAAAGGTTTTATTTCTAAAGGTGCTGGCTTGGCTGAAAAGAAAGAGAGAAAAAGAGATTTTAGTGTTCTTAACTTTGGAAGACAAACAAGATCCTCTTTCTGTATCTCTATGTCTGATAGCCTGGGTACTCCTGAGATCAGCTAGTTTTCACACATGAAACAAGGTTCATGAATGTTGCATGATTTGTTCAAGGTTACATGGCTAAAAAACTAGTGGCAAAAGCTATGTTTCATTATTGTTAACTCAAAGTCTAAAGCTCTATTTCAGCAATGAATTTAAGTAAATATTTTATGAATGTAAACTACATGAGAACAAGAAATAGTAATGTGACCCAATTTAGAGTTGCCTGATTTGTACTTTTCACTATTTCATTAGTTCACTCTTTCACTAATTTCATCCTCAATATGGAGACTTAGTCATCTACGTAAAAAACACTCCTTCAATATTGAAGCATAAGTTACACAATTGTACATATAAAGTAATGCACAGAAAATATCAAAAACAAAACTTTGCTAAAACAAAAAACTGAAAAAGAATTAACAATCAAACCTTTAAAAATAATTCATGCCCAGTTCAGAAACAAACAAAACAAGACAAAACAATACAATAATTATATCTTTAGGCTCAAACTCTGCTGTGAGAAAAGGCCATAATTAATCTCAAAAATCATTCCAAATTTTTAGCTTAATTTAACTGAGAATCCTTTACTAAATTAAATAAAAGAAAATGCTCAATTTTTTTATAAGTTGTCTTTACTTATTTACCTCATTATTGCCGTAGACAAGTACTTACTAGTATGTGCCACAGAATTTTTTGCCCTTATAGTCAAGGCTAAAATATCTTTCAGAAATTTATGGAGTGAGCAAAAGAATACCACTATTTGTTAGTATTAATTATATTTTAGGAGACTATTTAAATATATTAGGTAAATATTGTAGTTACAGCTCATCCTGCTACTCTAAAAGAAAATTTTCATTTTTTCCAGGTTTCTTTACAGTCTTTGTCCATATGTGTGTAATTTTAATCAACTATGTTGTAATTACCATCAAACTACGGAACAGCTGGTCATTTTAAAGGACCATACAGATTCACTGAAGCTATAACTATTTTTGTCAGCTTAAATATAATGAAGGCTAAATTGCTTTATTAAATTTGAAGTAAAACAATTTTGCTCATCTATATACTTAAAATAGACATGTACAGAATATTTTGGTGACTTAAAGTATTTCTTTAATTCATAATGTTTTACTTTTTTTGACACCCAAAGGCTCACAGCAGTTTAGCTGTTAATTTCTAAGTAACAATATAATTAATCCATGGAAATGATTCTTTATTCTGTCTCAGAACAGAAAACAAATATTATATATAGAGACAGGAGACAACTGGAACTCACAAGCAGTTCACAAGCTTAAAGAAAACAATGTATTGTCTAAAAGTTAAAAGAGTAATGCAAAAGGCCAAGACAATATCACATATTATCAAATATTTAACATGCTGCTATTAATGACATAACAAGTAGACTCCTTGTGTATTATGGGAAGCATTCACTTTAGAAATAACATGCTGGGAAGCTTTATTTACAACAGTAGTAATATTTAAGGCTTTTTTTTTTTTTTTTTAAAGAAAATAACATTAGGAAATAAATAAATTCCCAACACCCCATACAGCATGCAGTGCTAAAGTACATACCCTTTCTTCTTGTAGCAAAGTCACCTATGGTTTGTGAATCAGTTCGCTCTAAACCATGGGGTTTGGGTCTTAAAATTTTAGGACTTTGACCTAATTGGTAAAAAGAACACTCTCTTAATATAATGTTATTTTTTAATTGGAAAATGGATTCTGTAAAAAAGCAACAGAGCCCTGTGCAGAAATGTTACATCTCAAAAGCATAAACAAAGGTTTTTTGTGGAGAATATTTCAACCTTGCTACATACCATTCATGCTCAGCACAATGGAAAGAGGGGAGTTGCATGCAATGATGTAATAAGCAAAGAGTTAGAAGACATGGAAAGTTTTAGTGGGATAACCAGCCTGGTTAGTTGCTGTCTTCATTTGGGGGAAGGAAGGAAAAATATGTGCCACGTTAGTTCTTCTTCTAACGTGTCTTACAAAACTGGTTCAAATAAAAAATTAGAAAATCCCTCAGATCTCAATTACATCTCTTCTTTGAAGTTTGGTGTCTCATAAAAGGGTGCAAAGGCCTGCTTCCCTATAACGCTACTTTTTTTTTTTTTTTTTGACTGTAAGGGGATTGCAACCCCTGGCTCAGTGTCGTCCACACCACGCTCAGCCAGTGAGCGTACCGGCCATCCCTACATAGGATCCGAACCCGCGGCCTTGGCGCTACCAGCGCTGCACTCTCCCGAGTGAGCCATGGGGCCAGCCCTATAACGCTACTTTTCTAAAGATGTTTTTAGAACCTTAATCTAACTATTCCTACACGTCCTGACCAAAGCCTTTCTGGAGAAGCAGGTGGCCACTGCAGTATTTGCTAATCCAAGACCAACAGTTATTTTGTTTCCCTAGTGACTTCATCCTGCAAGAATTACATATCTAGACTCTGGTACTACTACTACTAAGTGTCTAGCTTCAACTTAAGTACTTGAAAGCATAAATTCAGTTGCCATCATTTTCCTTTCATTTCATCTCTGCCACATACAGGTACTGCTGAAAAGCCCTATGAAAAGCACTGGATTGACACAGCTATTGTTCTCATATCTTTCCCCATTAGAAGCCTGGATGCCAGAGTGGATATATAATTTGAATCAGTAATTAAAGCTACCCTATTCTCAATGGCACCATATTTTCTTTTCTCTTGAAATTTATAAAGTTGTGTGAACATCTATTAGATGGCAAAATTAGAATTTGTTAGTTAAATGCTCATATCTAGCACCTTATTTACTGAAATCCACATTTCTTAAAATGAAATTCTCTAGGTTATAAAAAACGAAAATTCTCCCCTTAACCAATTTTCTAAGTTAAACAATTAATACATTGGGTTTATTCAGAAATGAGGCAGGCCTAGTTTAAATGTCAGTACTAAAATTCTGGGCAAGACCCATTCCCTACCCCTAATGCTCTCCAGCGCCTACACTGGCAGGGCTCTTTTCTGAAACAAAGAAAAATGTCAGCTTTTTAAAGTCCCCAAAGAGGGCCGGCCCGGTGGCACACTGGATAGTGCGCCGCTTGGGAAGCGCGGCGGCGCTCCCGTCCGAGGGTTCAGATCCCACATACGG